TTTTGGCTTCGGAATTAGATCGGAAAGGATCTACAGTGATCTTCAGCCCGGGATTTTCTTGACATAAGGAAACCCGTCATGGTACCACAAGATCATCGAAGATTTATAAAGAAAAAAGGAAAGTAACCCATTTCCTCATAATGGGCGCGCCAACTGAAGAAACAAGTACCGAAACAGCTGAAAATTCAGCAACGAACACGGCAACTGATGCAACAGTGACAAATAAAACAACGAAAAGTAAAAAGCAAGTTATGCACCGTACTGCTCTTGGAGATGTCACGCAGAATAATTTAGGACAACTTAAACGGTTAAATATAGTTCTTTTTCCCGTAACCTACAGTGAAAAGTTTTACAAAGATGTACTAGAAGTTGGAGAATTTGCTAAACTTGGTAAGATAGAAAGTTGTTACTTAGATTGTTGAACAAGAAACATTACTTCACATCCTTAATAATAAAATTAGCCTACTTTAACGACGTGTGTGTTGGTGCTGTTTGCTGCCGAAAAGAACCAATACAAAATACGTCACCAGAACAAGCCAAACTTTATATAATGACATTGGGAGTTTTAGCACCTTATCGTAATCTTGGAATAGGTATTAATAACAAATAATTAACTAAATTATTTACGCGAATAATAAAAAGTAATAATTGAGAATTTTTTAACATTAGGCACAGCCCTGTTAAAACATATTTTACATCATGCAACATCAGGAGTACCAAATATTCCAAAATTCACTGAGATATATCTTCACGTTCAAATTTCGAATGAAGAAGCATTAAAATTTTATAAAAAATATGATTTTGAAATTGTAGGAACGGTGGAAGGATATTATAAGAAAATATCACCATCAGACGCGTATGTGTTAAGTAGAAAATTGGGGAAAGATTAATCATTTCTGTTAAATATGTTAAAAATGAAGCGAATTAAAAAAAAACAATTTATAAATGAAAAAAAAAGTGTAAATATGCATAGAAATTTCGAGTTATGTATGAATAAATGGATTTACTATTCGTTTATTGCTACAAAGTGATATTGATTTTTAATCAATTACTGCTAAGAAGCCTTTAGAGCTAGAATATAGCTAGAATACTGCTAGAATATAGCAGAAAAGCAGGATTTGATACAGATCACGAGATTGCACGCGCATTCTTTTTTTTTTTTTGCGTGTTTTTGTTACACGAGACCCTAGTTTGACGCGTTTTCACTTTATTAAGATGATTCATAAGTGAAGTTATTAAAGATCGGATAGGATGTAATATTTTTTTTAAAGATATTAACAATATATGGTGACTCTAGGGGTATTCTTGATAACTTTGATCTTTGACGCGTTTATAGTTAATAACTCAGGTGCGAATGTTTGTGATATCCTAAAAAGACTATTTGTAATCTTTAGAATTTCCATTTTTTTTTAAACGAGTAAGGCTGATCTGAGTTGGTCGCCTTCCTAAGAAAAAGGCTAATTTTTTTGGTCCTTATAAAATAAACAAGTTTTTTGCCAACAGTCAAAATGTTAAGTACCTCTGGCACGTTTGTATCGCGCCCTTGCATGATATTCAAGTCTCATAAAGTAACGACATCAACATCGGGCATAGTGATGTGTCCCACGGATACGGCAACTTTTGATCGATATTTAACAATTACAATATGATCAAAATTTTTTCATCGGAGTTAATGTTACTTTCATATGGCGGCAAATATAATTGCTATTTGGGACTTCATTACGGCAAGTCCCAAACTAAGTTTCGGCAATTTGGGATTCGGCAGATGACGAAACTATTGGATTTGGGTGACAGGCATCATATGCATCATCATCAAATGATCAATATATAAATCATGACTCTTAAGAAATCACCTTCCTTTTCAATACCACCCAGCCTTTACACTACTGTCGCCTTTGCCCTTCCACCCTAAATGGTATCTCCTGCACCTACCATTTTCTACTTAACAGTCGGCCTGATCTGAGGAAGTGGCGAATTTGATGATGCTGCTACTCACGCTCACCCTACTGTTACAAGCGTAAATTTTACGAATTAGTCAAATTTGTACAGTTTAAATTATCACAATGCATTCTGCGACCTTAACGTCTTTTAATTGAACCTTTATTTCTAGCTAGCCAGCATTCTTCCATTCACGTGACAATATGTACTTAAATGCTTTTCATTTTAAAATAATGCATGTGAATGTCTCGAAATAAAGTGCACTTCATCTAATATATCGATGAATTTATATAATATAAAAACTCAGAAAATTGGTCCTTTATCTTGAACTAACTCACCCGGGTATACTTGAAATAATGTGCAGGTGCATTATTTCGTTTCTAATTTTGGCCAGAGTTAACTCTCTTATTCGATAATAAAATTAACTTTACTTTATTAAAATAAATTTATAAAACTATTATTTTTTTTTTAGCTAAAATTACTTTAATATTCTATGGTTTGCCGCTATAGAATGTATGAAACATCATAGATAATATTAGCGATAGGTTTATTTAAAAAAGGCATAAAAAATAATGAAAACTAAACATACTGAGCGTGATTAATATAACGATAACCCTGATATATCTGTGCAGCTTCATTAGTAAAATGACATGCAAAAAGTAACATATTACGGGGTTGTACTTTCCAAGCAAAGCGCATAAAACAAGCAGAATATACACACATTGCTACAAATAAATAAAAAAGTATTGAATTAAAATATTAAGAATAAATTAAAATAGGTTCTTAACCACTTACCTGCTGTCATTCTAGGAGATATAATGTCTGGATCTTTTTTAAAATCAAAAATTGCAGCTAAAGGTAAGCCCCAATTAGCAACTAAATTTATAGTTCATTAATGTAATATTTATATGTGGTAAATTAATTAAGGTAGATGAATGGTGAATAGACGAATATTCGAATAACACGAACCTGGTCCCCAAAAATGCTAAATTAATATGCGTATAAGAAACATGTTAAAAAGGTCAAAAAAGCTTTCTATAAACCCGTCGTTAATAATAATAATAATAATAATAATAATAGTAATAATTACCGTGCTAAACGTTAAGAAAGAATTTCAGTCAACCTTTTTCTTTAAAAAAAAAAAAATTATGTATAAATTTTATTAAAAATATACCTCATAAGATATTGCCGGAATTCCGGACTACTTAAATACTGAGATAACCGCGAAGACAAAGACATATTATTATAACTTTTTATTATATTATACAGTCTATACAGTATATATATATATATAATTAAGTTCGAGGTTTTCGAATTCGAAGAAAATATATCAGATAATAATAACGAAAATAGTACCGGTTACAGACGGGACAATTATACGATTGGCTATCCTACAGGAGCGACCGTCGATGTTACACGACTGACTTTTCACCCGGTGTGCAACATATAAAAAAACTATTTTACA